AAACACCCTCGGGCCGACCACAGCCTCTCAGAGCCTGCTCTACCCTCCTCTTCACTGATGATTTACTGACGACTCTGTCCTCTGCTTTCCTTAAAGCGCACATTTGACAAGCTACTACACAAGAACAAATGTCATGAGTGGCAGCCTGGCAGAACCGACCAGTAATATTAACCTAGAAAATGCTGTAACAGGTAGCCATGGCCCAGAAAATGAGGCAACGGATGGATGCGCAGCACAAGCAAGCTGCAAGTACTCACTAAATTCTGTACTAAAATACTTATGTTTGTGGTGCAACCAGCTGCACTGCCAAAGCAAAAGTCCCGAGTGTTTGAATAGCACTGCACAGCTGAAGAGCGAAGCACACCTCGTAGGAGGCTCCCGTCGCTCACGCGCTTGCCTCACACATAATACCTGCTTGCTCAGCTAGCGCTTCTCTGCATATGTTTATGCTAAGCACATAGGCTCAGGTGGACGTGTCAGGTTGAGATTTGGTGAGGATGGCAAGGATGGAGACTCCACCACCGCTTCGGGTCCCCCCCATCAGTGGTCCAGCACCTTTCAGGCAGTTTTCTTTTTCCTTGTGTTTAGGTGGAATTCCTTACACTTCAGTTTGGGCCCAGGACAAGGGTGACAGGAAGAAACCTTTATGTTTGAGAAATGAGTATATATAATACAGAAATCACTGAAATAGAAATAAAGAGGTTTCCAAAAAAAACATTTTAGTTGGTTGTTAGGCAGAATATCCTTGAAATCCCATAGCCTGTTAGGATTATGCAAGTTGAAAGATTTAATGCTAWGGTACAGGGAGCTGTGATGCTTGCTGCTGGAAAGTCCTCTGTTCTTACAAATGCATTAACTGAGGGCTAACGTGTGTGCTGCTTTTCAGATAAACTGAGAATAAGGTGACCGAAACACAACTGTACTTGTTATAACAAGTTTTATTTATCCACAACATACCCACTGGGACTGCAAATAAATGTGAATGGGAAGCAAGTATTAATAGAGAGGGTTCCTCCAGGTAGCATACAGAGCAATCCAGCAGGGCCAGCTCTTGATTTAGGTTTTGCTCTGCATGGACAGGAAACTTTAATTTCTGATGTCAAATGCTTCGCTACAAAGAGGTTGTTATTCAGCACRGAGACACACAAATGAGCAGTGCCCGACAGTCTTTTGTACATTAAGACATGAAAATGGACTATAAAGGAAATTGTTTGATCGAATCTGCCATTGAGCTAATGTAACACTGAAATGGAAAAAAATCTAAAGCAAGATTTAAAATGATAAAGATTCACATCAGAAAGGCTGCACTAATGACAGTTCCCGGCACGAGGAATCAAAAGCAATTACATTTCTATGAGGAACCACTAACATTTGATACAGTAATGAAGAAAAATGCTAGTGAGCTGATTATTTTACTGCAGCCTATTAAGTGTATTAGAGTTCCAAACCAACATTAGTATCTTTCTTTATAACGAAGGCAGGGTATTCCTCAGCAGATTAATTAAATTGTTTTGCCCATCCAAGGGGGCCTGGCTGCCTGCAATGGCTGCTTGGAGGGCAGCCTCCACGGAGCAGCCCAAGCGAGGCCCGCGGGGCAGCATCTTGCTAAAGCTCAGCCAATACCGTCCACACAACCTGAATTTTACATTTTTCTTCATCAGCATCTAGGATCCAAATCAGATTTTTAAAGAGATTAAGCATTTATTTACTGTGGTTTATGYTATTAAAGTCTTGCTAACAGGTACGAAGGCAGGATTGAATAACAGAATAAACACTTCACCGTGTYCGGCATGTTTGAGATCTCCTATCGAGGGAGCTCAAAACCCATTAAGGATTCCAGGAATGGAATATACAGTGGAACTGAAATGCATTATGCTTCCAGTGCTCTTTATTACTCACCAGCAGTGCGAGGTCAGGATGCTCACAAAACAGCACAGTCAGAATTCAAATGAGAGTCTGAGCATCCTGATACTTGCTAAAATTTGTTCCTTCTGCCACTGTCCCGAAGATTTTTCTATTAATTTAAAATTTCTGCTCCTCTGTAGAAGGTCAGACATCTCAGGAAAAAATGCATAAAACAATAACCCTCCCCCTACACACACACGCACACACACACACACACCAATTGTACACCAATTTTGTTCCCATTTTGTTCAATGGAGAAGCTTTTCCAGAATCTCATTAATGTTCCCCAGAAAAACCCAAGGGGCATTATCTGGTCTAGCAGAGAGAAGGCTGRCCTGTCTATTATTTGAGAAAACTGTCTAAGAAGGAAACATTCYAAGAAGAAAATACTCATGCATATGAAGGGAACCTTTTTGCCACAATAGTTGGGCAATGCAGAAGAGTCTTGGATTTACTACAGTCCATTGCTTCAGGCAATGTATGCACAACTATGGGATTCCCAAATGAAAAACAATTCTTCCCCAAAAAAGCAAATCTTTTTGCAGCAGTGCATCATGCTGATGTTTACCCTGACAAACTTCCCTGTGCTACTGCTGAGAAGTTCAAATGCTTCCCATTTGAAACTGCAGCCACATCCAGAAARCAATTAACTCAAAAACACCATGTCCTAGCCGCACAGCAATATCAAAACCAAACACAGCCATACACAGAAAACAACTAATTCATATATACCACCTTCTAGTGAGAAGACACTGCTTTTTCTGTGAAGTGAATTCTACCCACTCGTTCATATCATTAGAGCAAGATAAGAGAATTTTCTGTTTGGAGCAGCAGAACAAAGTAACAGCTTTCATTCAGATTTGTTCAGCTCTGGCAATCTCGTTAAGCAAGGTTGCTGCRGTTCTGAAACTTTTCTTGTTACTGTCTTCTTAATAAAAAAAMCACCCCAAATCTAAACTCTATTTAGACACCAGTACAAAAGCCAGGCCTGACTCTCAGAAAGCAAGTGCAGCGTTTAGTGCTGAGCAGTTCCGTGCAATCTATTTTCCCTGGGTAGCCAATTGATCATAGTAAGAATAAAAAGAAACTCTACCTTTAGAGTCCTGAACTACCTCATAACTCATAATCTCACAGGACACTTAAATCATACAATTAAGGAGAGATTTTTTTTTATTGGAAAATTATAACAATTGAAATTAAATAAATCCTCCAAAACAAAACATTTTTGGCTAAAGTGTGCAAGTATATCATCACAGTACAAATAACGAGCTAACACTTTCATTAAAGCTGAAAAATCCAAACTGCATTTCTAACTAGAGTATTTGTTTTCTAATCTGACGGTTTTTGCTTGAGATTGTTGCCAGCTTTATAACTATTTTTAATGCAAGGTAACAATAATTACAATGTTACCTGAAAGCATAATCGTCATTTGTCAATGTACCTTGTTTCCCAGAAGTCATCATTTCTTTTAAGAATAAACTGATGGATAAGGAAGAACTGCAGAGCTTCAACCTAAACATTTCATTTTGCATTACGACTTGTCCACGTGGAAAACTCAGGATATTCAGTCGTAAATAACCACAGACAGGCATTCAAATAGCATTGTCCTTTATGTGGACGCCACTCAGAATTTATTTTCCTGCTCTATATTTAAAAGGGCAAATCATGAAATGAAGTTGACAAGAGATTATTAGTACACTTTCACACAGCTATATTTAACTGTCTTAAAAATAAATATCATGGGACAAACAGCAAAAATTATTTGAGGTGAAAATTCAATTGCAAATGTATCTTCTTTTCGACATTGCCCCTGTATTGTTCAGGGAACAGAGTGAACTGCAGCATCTCTCGGGAACAATTTCTTTGAAAAGGACTTACAAATCATTTCAGGGCCCCTCAATTGAAAATATTTGAAACTATTTAAATCTTTACAACCCTTAGGCATATTCTACAAGTTATTTTCCTCTTCCCAAGAATCTACATCTTTGGAGACGTTTGTCTCTACCAACATTTATGACAACCAGCTCAAAAAGAATAATTGAAACGTGACTGCCACAAAATACCAGGGATTCTTCTATAGTCTTTTGTAAAGAATAGGTACATTTTAAAATTTACTTTTCACCTTGAAAATATAAATTTCAGTGTAAGATCACGCAGACAGTAAGTGCTAAGTATGTATATTCCTCCTGAAACCTACTAATTTTAATGGGATTGTGATGCTGCAAAGGAAGGTCTGTGCAGGACGGAACCCCCAAACCTTGTGCAGTGACTTGAGGATTTAATGTGGTTCAACCGTGTGTGTGTGTGTGTGTATAATTAATATTTTTTATTGTGTCATTAATGTGGTTTAATGCAATGGCTTATTCTCAAAGGGTGTCAAATCTATGCATAAGGTATACAGCCCCAGTTCACACTATGCTAAAGACAATACTGAAACAATTAATCACACTTTCAAAACAAAATGGTCATTTAAATTATTTCTTAGAGAGATCTACGCATCATTTATAGATACCGTGAAGAATCTTGTTCAAAGTGGAAAGACTAAGAGATGATATCTTAATATAAGGATATATTAAAAGGACTCTCTTTCTGAGAGTCCTAACAGATGACCATGTTAAACTATTTCTAGACAAACTACTCATCCTTAACAAAGCCACAAAATTACCATGTCACTTCAATACTGGAAACACATCAGCAGATTTGACTCCTTGATTTCTTAATTTGATAAATACCCTAATAGTGACCTGCCCTCATAAACCTCTCAGTGAAACTAAAAACACAAACCCCACTAACAAAAACAAAATACTRAACAAAAACTCTAATTAAACAAATCTGAAAATACCTACTGCATCAAGGGTATTCATTCATGCAGATTTCTGGGTCACTTAGATGCTTTAGAAAGCTTGACATACTGATTTTTGTTCAAAATGGTCATTTAAATAAAAAACGTTTATCATATATTCCTTTAAATAAATATATATAAAAGAAAACAAGAATACAAAATATGTTTAGAAGATTTTGAAGATATTGGCATTACATTTTCAATTGCAAAGAAAAAGGCTCATACGCTGCACATCTGTTTGACAGATACTTACACAAAAAAGGGCATCAGCCGAATAAGAGTCTCTTTTTTAGGGCTGGCTGTGAATTCTGGCACAGTTTGAATAATTTTGTTCATTACATTCCTCAGGTAACTTTGTAGCTGCTTGCGCCTCTCTTCTACAAATTTTGCATCCTAAAAATAGAAGAGGGGAAAAAAAAGTAAGTGGTGCCAAGAATGTTTTTCCATTCTATAATGTCACTAAGCATCCTAATAAACCTCGAAAAGACTTTTTTTTTAAAAAATGATGTGCATTTATTATAGCTAAAGAAACATGTTTGAAGATTATTCCTTTCTTAGGTARGACACTCCCACTCCAGATCAAGGCAGGAATGATCCTTTCGACCATGACGGCTTGCTCCAGCCTTCTTCACTCTCTTACTAACATCATTCATCCTGGTCCTGCCCCGCTTAGGAGAAAAAGGGCAGCAACATTTTGAGTGAAGAGAAGAAAATGGTAAAAAAAAATCATAATGTTATTTCTCAAAGTAGTCATTTAAATTCATGGTGGGGAAAAAAAAGAAAAATTAAAGAAAGATCTACTGATGTTAACTAAGGTGTAGTTGCAAATACCGGCCACCAAGACTTATATTCTATAAAATTCATGCTTCTAACTGAGTTTACTTTTAGCTAAACATATTGTCTCTGTCTGATAAACACATACACAACACTTGCATTTAGGAATTTTTAAAATTTTCTATCAATGCAGCATTTCTTTCAATCTGGCCAAAGCCTTAGCTYAGAAAATTGGGCAATATTTTCACTACCTATGCTGAGCAATAAAACAACATAGGGCATAACTGTGGTTTGCCTGGAATTTCAGTGACAAATGAAGACTGAATTCAGTCAAGTCAGGCTTTTCCTCAAACATTAAGAAAAAAGGCTAAATTGATAACATTTGCCATAGTTTTCTCTGCAGCAGGACTCCCATTTTGCTTGTACTTTACAGATTCCATTTTTCCCACTAGACTAGAAGAAACACACACCATCTTCCTAATATTTTCCTTTAGCCAAGTTATAGTCATAAACAACAATGTTCATATAAAGGTACAATATGAAGYCTGTATGCTAAAAATAGTCTAATTATTGCTATTGCATCATGGTTTTTTGTTGTTGTTTTGGGGTTTTTGTTTGTTTCTTTCTTTCTTTTTTGGTACCATACTGTCTTGTCTGACCTGTATGGGAGTTTTGAATAATGGGTGATTTCTGAAGATGTTCATACTAAGCGGCCTCAGAAAGTTAGGCAGCAGTGTGAGTGTGCTATTTAGGTTTTTTTTTTTTTAATTCCAAAATACAAACAGTTTTCTTTGTATTTTCTAATGCGAACTTGCAGAGACRTCCAACCGCGTTTGACATTCCAATTTTAAATACGTTTAAAGCACAAAGGGTCCTGTGTACTCCAAAGTTCACTACCCCCTTCCCTTGGTCACGCAGCTCTTCAGTACAAGTTTATTACACATACCCTGGAAATATTGCAGCAGATGCGTGTTATTAATTGAATTTACTATTAGAATGATATCTGGAGACGCCCAGAAGCAGCTACCCACAGGCAACCCTCGTGCAGGAGCCGGCCGAGCTGCCATGCTGCATTTACGGGGAGCTGCAACGCGCGGAGACACACGGCACGGCACGGCACGGCACGGCACGACCCACGGCAGGAGGGCAGCAGCTCTCAGGGGCCTCTCCGGGGCAGCACTGCCTGTGTTCTGCTCCTCTTTCCACCAGGATTTTTAGACCTATTGCGTTCGGTTCTGCCAGCATTCCCCACACCACCAAGGCAGTATTCACCAGAGGCTGGTAAATAGAATAAGCTGTAACAGAAAAACACAACTGGTCCAAAGAGCCCAGCCTGTTTYTTTTAGTCTCAAATTATAGAAGGGTAACTGTCCCACTTTCAGGTCCCAGTTATCTACAACCAAAATATACTTCGTATTTAATATTCTGAGTCCTCCCAGCTGTTTCTGCAAATCTGTCCAAGAAATGTTTTCAACAACAGGTACCATTTTATTCATCTTAAAAGTAGAGCCCTATGGAGCCTTAGGTTCACTGACATTCAGTGAGGCCCTGGAAAATCAAAAAAACATCCTGGATTCCTCATTAGTTTTCTCTCCTACTCAACAACCAGTAGAAATACTCATAGTTTGCCTAATAAACCAAAAAGAAAAAAAAAAAAAAAAAAAGAAATGTTTGAAATATAACTTTGAACAGCAAGAAGGATGCTTTAATCCTTCAACAGAGCAATGCAGGCATCAACCAACCCTCTGACCTGCCCAAAGCAGGAGCCTCCCCTCTCCAGGGCTGCTTGACCAACAATCCACGGATCTTCCCTGTGTGTAGGAAAAGGGCACGGAGCCTCCAGCCACTGGCTACCACCCTCCCTATTTGATCAAGGGTCTCTCTTCTTCAGCTAAAGGAAAGGCAAAAACGTACGAGAGAGACTCGGCTATACAAAAATCCAGACCAATTCCAACACACCTCTGCAGGGCACCTGGGATACGTTTAGCCCTGATTTATGCAGGATACACTCATACTATGTCCAAATTGCTAATGCAGACTCCACATATCAGTATGCACCTTCGACTTGCAGGCGCTAGTTTTACAAAAAATAAAGTTACTGCAGTTTCTGCCCGAGCCACTTTCAARATCCTTTTCTTAGCACAGCCCCAAAGCATGTATTTTTGATTAGGAGTCCACAGAATTTCAGCTAACAAGCAAAATTGCTTCTGATTGCAGAAGCATCAAGCCACATCTGGGGAAAGTATTTCATTCTCATTGTTTAATCTGAAATTAATGCCTTCCAAAATATTTTATGAAACTATCTTTTTGACTGAGAGTTTGCCAAGTTTCTGCCCGCAGCAAAATGCTAACATCAAATTACAAACTTATAAAAATGAGAATACATAATGCAAATCCTGATAGACTTGCAACACATATTAGCAGATGATGTTAAACCATAAAAGTAATATGCAGCATTTGACATACCATAATACTTTATGTTACTCTCTTGTAATTTTTCATTTCAGGCAGAGCTCAAACCAACTTGCATTTTGAGTTGCTCCCCACTCTCGCAGCCCTTTCATATACACACACATAACAGATGGCTGAACGTTGATATTCTTCATTATTAATGGGACAGCTCACTTAGAATCTTTCAAATATTCTTCAGGCGCTGTTTTTGAGAACCCGTGTGATTGCCATGGCAACCGGCCTTGATTTAGGGACAGCTAAAGGCCTCCTCTGCTCTGGGCTCGGTGCTGCTGCCAGCCGCACAAAAGGCACCGCGCTCGATCCGCTCGCCATCACTTCTCATCTGGCCRCACTCTGGCTGCTGGCGCTGGACAAAGCCCAGCTCAGGCCAGCCCCACTGCAATGTCAGAGTCACATCCAGCCTTGGACTTCAATGAGAGCGGCCCCTGACTCTGTGATATCGTACCACGAGCCCCTTCCTCACCACAGCTGGTAAGAATAGCCTTAAAAGATGAGYCTGTCAACACAAAAATGAAATCTGGTTATTTTAGTTTTAGGCAATTTTAGTGTTAGGTTATTTTAGTCCCACTACATTGGGGAAATTGGACCATCATTTGGTTGTAACAAGATTATCTGACTAGTTTTTGTCTCTTTAGAAGACACAAAGTTGCTAAGTGCAAAATGAAGCTGGAAATGAGAGTCTTCAATGGGACAATTTAAACATTAAATTGTCGAGCCCTTCTAAAACAGCTTTCAGATTGCAGAATAGTGAGATACCCAGCGTGGGGTTTTGCAGACTGGCAGGGTAACCTGCACATCTGCAAAGGTCTCAGTGACCTGACACTGAGCCCACCGCCCGTTGCAGCCTGGTTCATTTGGGTTCATTCCACTAACGACGCTGGTTCATTTGGGTGTGAACCATAACGATGTGGTCACACTGGGCTTCTGTCTGGGCTTTTCTATAGGTAGATACTGCTACCCATGCATCTTCTGGGCAGTCCCAGAGGACAAGCACAGTACTAGGTGTATAAAAGTGCTTGGCCGCTGGGAGCTCCTCAGGACTATCAAAACCACAGGTGCTGTATCCCAACTTAGTAAATCTGGGTCAAAATACATCTAGCATTTCTCTAAATTAAAAAAAAAAAAAAAATCCAGAAAGAAAAAAAAACCAGAGCGCCATGTAGCCCTGTGTCCATTTGTCAGCAAGTCCAGCAGCAGGAGGAAACCTCACCGGAGCGGGATGCCGCGGCGGGCCAGCGGGAAGCGCGCGATTCCCGCTAACCCCCCCGGCTGCCCGCCCAGAAGCCGGCAGGGAGACCGAGGTGGTCTCTGAATTTTATTTCTACCTGAAAGACCAAATGCTCATTAAAAGAAATTCTTTGAGTTACCCTGTGATGGGAGAACTCTAGTTGCTGAGCTAAAAACTGAGTGAGAAATATTAATTTCCCCTACATATTCTTTGTAGTGCCTCCACGTAAAGACATTTTATGTAGCACAATGAGGAAAACCAGATTCTTTATGCAGAAAATGTCTCTCCAGCATTTAGCATGCTCTGAAGAATTTGATATTTAGTTTTCTCCACTTTTAAAAAGAACACCAAATATATCTAGCTGTAGCAGCCCCTCAAAAAGCYACAGAGCAGAGATTAGAATTTGCTGATATTTATAGAAGAAATTTCTGGGAAAAAATAAAATCAAGCATATTGATTGGTACAAAAATAAATAAATAAACAGGCAAAATAATCTCTTTCAGGGAAAGGAGGCTTTAGTTTTATTTCCATAATTAGGTTTCCCTGCAAGGAGATCTGTTAAATCCAAGTAAGTTGATAGTTTAGCATCACCATCACAGTAAGAAATACATTTAGAAAGATATTTTTATATTTTCATTTCAAACCAGGTTACTAGAATACATAAAAGAGGCAAGAAATGTTACAGAACTGCAACATTTGTCTTTCTCTATCTAGCAGTTGTCCAAACAGCACAGATAACAAATTACATTATTTTCTCCCCATAATGCCATGATGTTAAAGGACTGAAAGGTTAAAGTCTCACTTTGAAAAAAAAAAAATAATACTTAAGTTCCATGTTATTTTTGATAGGTATTAAGCTATTCAAAAATAAAACCAAACACTGGTGAAAGCAATCCTTAATGCCAAATCGGCAAACAGATCTGATAAAGCAGAGTTTCTAGGAGCTACTGAAACCCATGAAGTAGAGCCCCTATATCCACTCTGCCGATTCCAGTGCTGCTTAAACTCGCACTTAAGGCATAAAGAAGCACATTCTGAATCGGGACTCAAAAGCACAGGAATCTAGCATAAAATGTCTTTCTTCCTTTGCATTTTCCAAAGTGACCTTCTCTCTGAATCCTCCTCTTTCAAGCACTCTGGATCCTGCTATTATTGGCCATTTACCAGCTAAGCAGAAATTGGTACACTGCCTATTTTAAAATATGTACTTCAAACAGTGCCAGTACATTGAGCACCTTTGCTATTGTAGCTATAAAATTAATATCATCCATACACACGCAACTTGTTAATTAATTCCTTTAAAACACAACATGATACTTAATGTCAGTCTGGAATTACTGGTATTATTTATATGATGGTCTAGGATATTTATTAGCTCGATAACAAAGTTGGAAAAGGAAGGAACATAGATCTGAAAGAGAAGCAGAACATTTCAAGCCTAGGCAGGGCAACAACTCTTGGCTCTTCTTTTTGCCACACTAGAACTACTCATGTGCAAGTCATCACTATCTCACATCTTCCCTGGATCGTAACAACAAAACACACTTTCTATTAAAATTACAGCAAGCATTGGACACTAAGCATTGAATTTTTAATTTTGCTAATTTGATCAAGTAACAGCAAATGTGTATCTTCTTAGGAAGCCCGAAATTTCTCTTTTGCATGGGTGAATAACCTTAATTAAAAAAAAAAAAAAAGAAAAAAAGAAAAAAAAAAAGTATTGGTTTGTCCGGATTCTCCACCAAAGTGGTAAAAGTCAGATAATGAAAGATCCTATAAGCACTTTAGGTACCTCATATTGACAATCGACGATCAGTTAGGGGTAGATAGAGATGAAAATAAGTTTCCAAAAAAAAAAGAAGGAAAAAAAAAAAGATATTTCCTTTCTCAACTTTCTACCCCATCAACTCATTCTCTTCTCGACWTTCTTTAGCCCTACAGCAACTCTCTCCCATAGAGTATGTTTTATATTTATGTATTTTAAATACATATAGCGCATACACACTTGCTTATATAAGTGCATACAGATTTTTTTCTAAAGATATAATGAAATATACTTACAAACTTATTCAATAATTACATAAAGAATCTACAGTTTAAGTCACTGATGGGGGACAGAGAGAGGGATTTATGTTATAACTCTGGTATTTGAGCATGAAACAGGATTTCCTGCTAGAACTGAACGTGGCTCGAGGGGCAGCTCACAGACGCGGCCGCGCGGGCTGGAGTGGTGAATGCTGCTGCCCTCAGCACCTCTTCTGCACAGAGCGCGGCTACCTCAGATGCTGCTGCTGCTCTGCTGCTGCAGCTCAGAAGTCACGGCAAAGTCACCCTTCTAATCTTAAAAAAAAAAAAAAGTGCTGTGTATTCTTTTAATAGGGGTATCTGATGTTCTAAAGGAAAGCAAAGGATACCAGGCAGTCRAGTCAGCACCTGGTGCAAAGGGATCTTATTCAATTTCTACACGTTTGGACAACAACTGAATTAACATCTTGAGTAGGAGCAAAGAACCATTTCTATTTTGATATGTCCTCTGTTGGGACCGTACCCTTGTAATAAGATACTTCGTCAGATCTTTATTCCTTTCGTAAAATCCATTCGTTTGCCTAACGGCAATTGCCTCATTTGCCTAATGCATAAGCAGCAACTGAGCTTAAGAACACTGCAATGTTCAAAAAAAAAAAAAAAATGGAATAACAGGTCCAAGAAATAGTAACGCATTATCATTTAACCCTTAAATTGAAAGCAGTATTTTAAGAAGTGAGGCACCAGCCCAGCAGCAAGAATAAAAGGCTTGGAGATTAAGAGCAAGAAAATCTTAAATGAAGAAAAAGAGTGATTTTTAGGCAAAAGCATAAACGGATCCTGTTATACTGAAGTGCTAGGATCATGGGAAGCTCCTCCTGAGGAGTGTTAGAACTGGCCCATGTAACTGGGCTCTCTCCAGCGTTGGCAACGCTCCCGGCAGCACACGAGCCCTTTGGACACCAGGGCCCGGCAGGACGGCGGCACAAAGACTTCAACCACGACACCCACGGAGCAACTCGGATGCTGCGCAGCCCTCAAGGCTCGCTAAAGGGCAAGGGTATTTCATGCAAGAAAAATCAGTGTTGTTATATACGTCTGCATGAAAAATACCCAGAAAACCAAAAACTGGGGTGATGGAAGAGGAGAGTATTTAAAATCACAAATTGAACCATTCAAGTGTTACAGATGCAGTTCAGCTTCACAAATGGTACATACATTGATCTGCAGTTGAAAAAAAAAAATCACGTACAAAAGCATATGGTAAGTAACTTAGTACTAAGAATACCCTTCTCTTATAGGCGTAACGGGAGAACAGAAATACAACTTTCACTGCTTTTTGTTTTATTCTTTTCTACAAAATCAATGAAGGAAAAACACATATTCTGGTAAAGACTTTTATAAAGATTTTGACAACAATTTGCTAGCAGCACTGAAAGATCATTCATAGAAAATACACASTATGGGAACTAGTAATCAAGAATATGCGGAGTTTTATAAAGTGTTTTATGAAGCTGTTATTTCCTGTCAAATTACACACATTAGTAAGTAAATTTACTATTTAGAACAACGTTTAAGTCAAATCATCTTTTTCAGTGTTTTAAATTAGCTCTACACCCAAACGTAGAAATTGAGATCCTGAAAATAAAGTTGCCAAGYTGAAAGCCAAATACGGACTCTTCTTTGCACTTGGAGTGGCCAAACATCAACCTCTTTCCTCTTGTTCACTTTCTGCTCGTTTGTGACTACATTGTTAGGGCAGTTTTCTGTATAGTAGATGCTTCTACTTTAACACTTCCTCTTAAAACTGGCTTCCAGCCCTAAATTCACCATAAATTTGGTGAAAGAATAAAAGGAAACCAACAAATGATCCTGACTTAAGGAAAACAACTGAAAGGTACACATATATTTTAAAAATAATAATTATAATAATTAATCATATTACATTCTTAATCTATTGTTTTGTGATTGTTAAATGCTTCCCATTTCACTACCATTCAATGAAACTTTTAACAATAATATTTCATTTTCTCATTTCTCTTAAATCCTTATTGGGCACAAATGCTGCTTTCCTTTTGCATTTTGTCCAYGCCAAATGCAGTAAACTCTGCATTTGAACACGACCCCCCTGATTCCTGCTGCAGCAGACAGCAAACCTAAGCGCACGCCATCGGTTTGTTCTCCTGCGTGACTGTCCTTCGGGCGCAGCAACCTAGCGGGTCSTGGCTTGTGACCCCCTGCACCGCCGGCTCAAAGTCCTTCCCTGGAACAGGCTGTCCTCTCCGTGGCCTCGGCTCCACGGTCGATGCACCCAACTGAGCAACAGCCACCCAGGACAGGCATCGAAGGAGGTATCAGTTACAGAAAAGCCTCCTTTAGGGCCACCAACATCTAGAATCTGCACATCAGCTGTTAGCATCCCAGTGACGAGCACAGGGTGCCAATGAAGAGCAGATAAAAAGCCCAAGCTTTCAGAACTCTAACACTTACTTTTTCTTATTCAGACTTTTTTTTTTAAATGCAAATAACCCCAAACTTGGCATTTTATTTTTATTTTTTTCAGTTTAATAGCAGAACGCTAATAAATTAACATCAAAGCAAAGAATTAAGCACTGGCACACTGGCTTCTTGACCAATGCACATCATTAAGTTATGGAATCATAAAATGATACACACGTACGTACAGTTGAAAGATCTGAATGTCAACTATATGTCAACTCAATTACTTTTTAATATCTACTTTTTTTATTAAAATATCAGATTCACCCTTTTTTTTTAAAAAAAGATCATTTGGTCTAAAGGTGGATCATTTATATAGGTGAGAATCTGATAAAGTGGCAGCTTAAATGTATTAAATTGCATATCGTAGCAACTCATAAATACTGTTGCGATGAAATAGCACTGAAACAAACAGCTTAGTCCACTACAAAATAAAGGAATAAGAATGAATAGTTACCAAGGCTGCACCACAATATAAAAAATTAACCAATCTATCAGAAGCTGGGGATAGAAGGGATAAGACAGAAAGTGGTAATTACAGATGGAGAAGTAAGACAAAAGGACACAGATTTAGGGACTTATATGCCCAAATACTTTTTAAAACCTTGTCCAAAGAACTTATATTTTAACTGGTGAACAGCACAGGAAATCTACAGAATGTAGACAGATAACTTTATAAATTCCTCAACGGTGTTAATTGTTGGTATTTATTGAAAAGAATGGAGGAAAGATTCCATCTTATATATCACAACTATTAAGMGCAGTATTTTGGACTCTGTATTTGTTTACTGTGTATGTCATCAATATGCTCTTTAATAAGCACAGTTTTCTTTCAGTGAGTGCAAGAGCCGGTGGAATATCACACAATAAAGGCAGCCGATGAGGAGAGAGTCTGTATAAAAACAACAGGTATTGCCTAGCAGGCATAAGAAAATTCTCTAAGGCAACCACCTCTTTCTTTTTGTGTGTAGGCAAATGGGTTTTTCTAACTCCTCCTCAACCCTTACTAATATTGTATATTCTTTTAGGTACCTTGTTTCCAATGGCCTTTTTTGGTGGAAAGTTAAAAGTCCTCACTTGCTGGTATTTATTCTGTAATTTATGGTGCAAGCTTCTGAACTCTGCGTACCTTCGATACACATTCCATTCGTCATCCTTGATCCTAATATAAACCTGTCAAACGACAAAGAAAGGAAGAATTAAAAGACAAATTGTTGAATTCATTCTGTCTCCTCTTTAAAGCCCACAGCATATCTCCTTCACCCTGGCGATGCTACTGGGAGTTTCATGATCATTCGCCCATTGATACATCTGTGGCCGTGCTTTTACTGCTTTTGTTCAACAGGTCATTACTCTAATTTGCTCCCTCTGTCCCCCTCTTTCGTTCTTTTTTTATCATTATATTATCGAGACAATCTTAGCTTGCTTAGGTTCTAGGGCAACCAGAATAGTGCTTTTTGTTACCATGGTTTCCAGTATATTCTACTGGCCAGTGACCAAAGGGAAAAAAATAATAATTTAATACTATGACACATTTTGAAACTTTGTAAATCGGATCTGTAGCATCAAAATTGCAAAACATGCTTCTAACCAAAGGTAAATTTTGAATCTTAATTTACTTCATAAAAAAGTGTATTTGTAAAATTAACCAAATATGTCATTGTTCAGAAAATAAAAGAATAAAACGCTCTTTTGACTTGCATAGGGCATTAAGTATAATTTAATACAACTGCAGATTTTGCAGTTCTGTTTTTTTTCTGAAATTATTTCATGTACATATTACCAATTATATAATAAATATTCATCAGCTCTAGGAAAATCTCACACCTAAAGTACGATATTCTGAGAACACTAAGATTCCATTCATTACTAGGGAAAAATCTTTCCTCACTGCTTAAACTCACAGCTTAAAAGAAGAGAGAAAGAGTACATCTCAGAAACAACAAACCATGCCCCGAAACCTCAGGCTGCAAATCTGTTTTTGCACGAGCTTTTTCAGTAACACCTCATTTGCCCCTTTTTAAAGGTATTAGTGATCTCAGTTTTTTGCCTCSTGAGCTCAGTTGGACTAGAATTGATGGCAAACAACCTTGTTCTCCAGCAGTAAATCCAGTTGTAAGCTGGGCACCAGGGAATACTTATCTAAAAAAGCAAGATCAGTGACCATCAGACAAGGAGTAGACAATAAAATCGAATTTTCATGTTTCTCATGACATTTGGATTTCAATATAGTTGATTCCAACYGGAATTGAAGCTTTACACACTGACCAAGACAGTCCTAATGTCTTTGTCCCCTAAATTTGTTGAGTCCTAAAAAAAAGAAGACTTCTACTAAGAGTTCTCAATGTTTGACAGAAGATCCAGATATCTAGTGAATGTTTCCTCTCCCAGAAGTAGCTTTTTTTTAAGTCAAGGCTTGTTAGGAATTCCTCTTATCTCTACAGACACTCATTCCCAAAAGTACTGGACAAGTAATTAGCTTTYAAATCCCTAATTCTCCACCTAGGATGTTTCGAATTGGCCAATCAGTGAAAGGACCTGGTAGYTGGAATCAAAGTCTTCAATAAAAACAAAAGCATCCAAAGACTGAAAAATGCCAAGATTAACTTCTATGGGCAAGAGACATATAGCATAAAGCTCATTTCCTCAAAGGAAAAGAAAGGCTCAAGCCCTATGGAAGAAATAGACAGAACAACAGAAATAAAAATACACCAATGGAATAGTCTGAAAAAGAGACTTTTATTTTATCTTATCACTTTATTTTCAGCATGCTTAGTGACTAGCAAGGCTACAAGCTGCCTGACTAGGACCAGCTCTTCATCCAAATATTCACAAAAGAGCTGAGGGGGAAAGGGACCTCTAGAGATCACCCCCTCTTCTCCAAGGGGAAACAACTTCTCCAAGTCTATCCATAGGATCGCCTAGAGCAACTCCATCTCCAGATGTTTTTTCACCATTTCCAAGGAAGGAAAAGGAAAGAAGAGAAAAGGATTTCTTTTTTCTTGAACTTCGCGAGGGTCCTGTCAGTCCGTTTCTCCAGCCTGTCAAAGGTGTTCTCGATAGCTGCACATCCATGTGGCCAACCAATCTTTTTCTTTTCTTTTTTTAAATCATTTTTATCAATTTGTATCATTCGCAGATTTGCCAAAGGTGCTCTCCCTCTATCCCACTGACTAGCTCGTTAATGAAGATGCTAATCAGTGCTGAACCCAAGACCGATGCCTGGGGCCCAGCTCTGAGGCCTGGCATCCCGCTGGACGTGACACAACTCATCCCACGCTCTTTTGCTTGACAGCATCATTACAGTAAGGATTCCTCCAATTCATTCTGGGGAAGAGTACCAATTTTGAGAAATTTGGCATAAAACAGTGTGATTTTAATGAAATCAAGAAGAGTGATCAGAAACAGGTAATTTTGAATAGGACTTCAGAAGACAGACACCACTATCAAAACATAAGATTTTCTAACAGATCCCATACAATTTTCAACATACTATGAATACTTCCTACAATGAAATATTATAATATCAGATCTTACTGGATTACAATGAAGTGCTTGGTTACCACTGTAAATCACTTAATCAATTTTGATGATGATGATGATGAACAGGAAACGGACACCGTAATTCCAAAATTGGCCTTTAGGAGCATGAAGGGCTCCAAGTACTGTCCAAGTGAACAACCTGTGCACATGCAACCAAAATCCTAGCTGATTTTGGCAACAGGTTTTTAGCTAGTGTAACAGTGGAACTGTCGTAACAATTCTGCAGGAAATCATCAGAATCCCATTTGGAAAACAAAGCCAAGGTAACTGTGTACCTAGCAGACCAGCCACTGTAGCCAGGCAGGACATCTCTGAAGAAACGAAGTTAGAAACTCAAGTGTTCTGTGTAATTTCTGTAAGTAGCTATAGGAAAGTAAACTACTAGGGTAAGAGAAGATTCCTTTTGTATACTGGAAACTATTTTAAATTGTTTTAAATTGTTCTAACATCACTACCTATTCCCTAGTATACATTTCTTGATGCAGCCCCTCCACAAAAATGTTAGAGAATGGCTTCCTGTTTTAAGTTCACAGATACTAGTTTCATTTAGACTGTAAAGGCATGAAAATCCAATGTTTGGAGACTGAAATCATGCTGAATTTATCGGCAATGATATAATAGACATTGAAAGGCGTATGAAAGCTCATGATTTAGTACACAGAGTTAAAGTTTTATTATCTCAACAGGAAATACTATTCACAAGCCAAGTTATTTCAAGACACTTAGTAGAAAACTCAGCTGCCAAATCAAACAATGTATATCCTAAAAGGTTATCCTATAGAAGCAGCTGAACAGATACTATAACAATAACCCTTAATTTCTAGGCAAGTACGATTTCTATGAAAAGTACGATTTCAGTAGTATTTTATGACTTGATCAGCTTTCCTTAAACCTTTCTATATAGGGAGACTCCATCAAAGTCTCCAAGAATTTTATTTTTCTCTAGAAGCTACCCAGGATGCTCTCCAATTGCCTCTGTTATTTAAAAATGTCTCAGTTCTTATTACTTTGCTTTTGATGCACTGCACAACTACTCAGGTGAAGCAGAAGCATTATCAAAGTTGAGAAGATGGATGAAAAAAGGAAAAAAATCTCCTTTTCATTTGCTCCAGAAGCCTCATGAGACCTCCAGACAAATTCACAAGTGGACATTCCATTTCCTCTGTTCCTACCACAATGGCTTTTAATAAGAAACTTTAATTACCCCAAAACATAGTAATAATCCAAAGTTTGTTTGTTAGTTTAAAATTCTTATTTTGCTGAAAACCTGAAGGCATGAAGAGCCAGATACAAAAGGCCATTGCTCTGGCGGCCAAAGGATTCCACTGCTCTGTAAGTACCCAGGTAGGAACGCAAGCGAGCCCAGCAGACTCTCTCACTCCTACCCCGCTCACATCAGCTCTTTCAGCCATCCTAGCACAATTTCAAGCTTTCCTAGCACAATTTGAAGCATGGATAGTCTGCATAAGTTATTTTGGGGAGGGAAAAGCTGGTGGAGCACACAAAGTCTGCAAGGCAAGAAGGCAGAGGGAAGCAGGGCCTCAGACAAGGGACACASAGGGAAAATGGACATACACAGATCTGAAGAAAGAGAATGACAAGAGGGAGAAAAATAGGGAGGGATTAGGGCTAAAAGAGGTGTGGGACACAGTGGATGAAACACGGGGTGTGACAAAACACACAGGCCAGGCTGCAGGTGACATTCAAATGGCCTGCGGGGAGTTTGTCAGGCAGGAAGGAGGTGGGCGGCCTTGGGAATGTTACACCGTGCTAACAATTCCCTGCACTGAACCAGCTTAAAATCAGCCTTTTGCCTCTGCTTATCCCAGACTTCTGTGCTGTGCCTTGCAGGGACGCTGCCTGCTGCTGTGGAAAAATATCTAGGCAAGTGACAGGCCGGTGCTTTCCCGTGGCGGTGCAGAAAGCTGAAGGCCAACGTTCAGCCTCCTCCCTTCAGCAATCTGAAGAGGAACTTTGAATCTCTGCCTTTCCTTCCACGCACATTTCCTAAAATGGTATCTTTCCTAAACCCATTAAGTAATATTCAAAGCAAAGAACGCACTGACAAAACAAAATAAAATTATTCTCGGAATGGTAACTAGATTGCAAACAAAAGGATTTCACTTTAAYATTCTCTTGCACATCAAAAAACAAAAAAGTTTTGCTTGCAGTCTAGGAGCTGCCACACACCAARGAGTTACCTCTCTGGGTAGCTATCACTCTCAGCAGCTGACTGAAAAATTTCAATTAATAAGTGCATTTAATGAACTAATCTGTTATTTTCTCATCACGAACATGATGGAAGAAAAAGACCTAAAGACAAAAGACTAAAGGAATTAATAATTTAAGAATGCTTTTTTTTTTTTTTTTTTTCCAGCCAGTTCCCTGAGAACTTGATTACTGAAATGCCTGAAAAATTCTGAGAACTGGTCTGAAAGCGCTAGGTTAATGATGCGATWCGGAAACTGATGAGCCCGAGTCTCATGATACTCTTTTGTAAACTGAAAGCTTCTAATAGTTTAAGGAATCTTTAASCACTATTAAGTCAAGAATGCCGTTAGCACATACCGGGAGCAGATTTAGTAACTATTGACACAGTTTTTCATCACTTTTGTGCAGAATCCTGAGGA